TGGCACACTTGTTTTAGTTAATACTTGACCTTCAAATGGACATAAAATACAAGAGTTTGAGGCGTTACCTCGTTTTAAACTAACGTTTAAAATGCTAGAGAGATAAAATAAATAAAAAATTAAAAATAAAAAAATAACACGAATTTCATTTTCTTTTCAAAAATTATAATTGCCTATACTAGTACCACTGCATAATAATTAAAAAATATTGTAAAATATTAAAATTGTAAGTTTTATTACATTATCATTATTATTAGGAAGTAGGATAATTAAATGAGGACGATCATTTCGATGAAATGAATGGAAAGTTGTAACCTTTTTCTGAACAAAAAATGACATTTCATTTTATTGCAATAATAATAATAATAGTCAACAATGAACACTAATACCAAAACAACATAGTAAACATTCGTACAGATATTTGTGTATATTTGTATATAAATATATTATGCAACTAATTAACAAAATTATTATTTATTAACACATTTTCTCCGTGGTCTCAAACTAATAATAGTACCTTCATTATTATCTTGTTTAAGTGAGTTTTTGACCCTCTTTTGTATTTCTTTTTTTTTTACCAGCTTCTGCTTGACAACTTTTTTCTTGTTTTTATTTGATGCGACGCTATTAATTGCCTTTTTTTTATTTGTCGCCTTCAAATTTTTTGTGAGCTTACATTTTAATAAATTATTATTCGGACTTGCTTTTATAGTTGAATTAAGAGAAACAGACCATGTAGTAGGAATTAAATAAAAATGTTTACACGCAAAATTATACAGTTTAATATAAATGCAATAAGAGCAAGACAGGTAGTTTAAATGAAAGGTATGAGGTATTTCACTGACCCATAATAATTGAAAGACTTTTGTTGTATTGGGAACAGTTTTTATGATTTTTGGTAACATTTTATTTACACGGTCTATGTCGGCTTTTTAAATTAAAAATGCTTTGATTTTCTGTTTTTTATTAGAATTGATAACGTCTATCATTTGTTGAGCAGAAGTGACATCCCCTCCTCTTTCAACTACCCCATTGCACATATTCTTTACTGACCCACTTATACCATCTGCAGCGCTTTTCCCATGACCTGCGCATGTGAAATTCCAAGGAGCAACACGTAAACCCATTTTGTTACAATAATGTTCAAATAACCAAAAATTACTCTTATTCTTATACTGCGTAGATGCCCCATCACTTTGAAAATGTAATGTACCTACTTGCTCCACAGTACTTTTTATTAGGTTTAATACTGGTTCTAGGTGAGCCCAAATCGACGCCGCATCGTGCCGTAAACACTCTAATGTTGAACAAAATAACTTACATAGAATTTGATTGTTTTTATTATAATAAAACGTTCCTGTGTGTAATGATAACTGTTTCTTGGAAGCACCAAAATGAACACTTTGAATTTCCTTATGGCTTTTTCCTTCGTAATTCATCGAAAAATCAATAACAATCAGTGCTTCATTGGGTTTTAAATTATTCTTAATATTATCAATTGCTCTGTGTTGATGGCCAGCGTCGTAAGCATGTTTGGCAAATAAATTAATTTGGCTATTGAACTCAACGACGAAATCATTTATAGTACAATCTATTTTCTCTTTTGACGTAATATTGACAGTATAGTTAAAACCCTTAGCACCTGATCTAGTTATCTTATTAGTCATACATTTGTAATAATGAGTTGCAGTATCGTTGCTTTCAAAATTCAAACATTTATCTTTACATTTGCTACATTCCCCATAACAACATTCTTTGCTTTCAATATCGCAAACTTTCGATTTTATAAATGAAAAACTAGATTTACTGGATATTAAATTCAATAGCAACAATTTTTCAAGTAACAGCTCCATGTTCGCATGAGGTTTACGAGTACACATACATGTTTTGCGTCCATTAGTTTTTATTGAGGTAGTTTATTCAAACAGTGTTAATAGTTTGTTTGCTTTCTCTTTTGTTTGTATAAATGTTTTCTTGTTCTACGAAAGTAACTTCAGATTGCTCTGTCAAAAAAAAAGAAAGAAGTCTTTCTTGCGTTATCTGTTTCTTACCAATTTTCTTTGAATATTGTACTACTAGTACTTGAATAAAAACACATTCAATTAATTCGTCTTCTCTTCCTTAACTTGATTTATCAGTTTTCGGTTTTAATACCCAAAATGGTTTGTGTTGATAAAAAGATGTACGACAGATTTTTATCAGTTGGTTTTCCTTACTAAATTTTTCATAAAGATCGTCTACATTATAATTTATGTATCTTATACGTTTCGCTACTTTATTTTTGGTGATAGTGTCTTAAATTCCTGGAGCTAATGACGAATTTTCGTCTTTCTCAAAAAATGCATGTATTATACTGATCTTCTTTAATGATTTGGATTCAGTCTTAGTTCTAGATATACTTGTAACAATGGTATTTGCAGTACCATATTTTTTTTAATATATTTCGAAACCAACATTGGTTGTTTTTTAAATCTTTTATACTTTTCAATTATTTTATTTGCACAGCATTGTTTGATGATAGGCTTTTCTCTTTTGGTTTGTAAGGATTCCATTTTATCTCTCATTTGTTTTTTATACAATTCGACCCATATTAAATGTTTTGTTACTTCTTTCACTCCAAATTTTTTCATTTCTTCGACACGACTACGAATGGGATCATCGGCTTTTTTATTGTTTAACAACCTATAGTATTTTTTTGTCATTTATTGATTGCTTTATCTTTTTCTTCTAACTGAATAACTAACTTTTTGTTTAATCGATTTCTTTTTACTTCTCTTATCTTCATATACCGGATCGTTGTTTTTAATCTCTCAACTACTGACTTACGTTTTTTTGAAGTACTGGATTTGACAGTATTTTAGGAGCATCAGTCGGTAAGTCGATTTCATCTGTTAAAATCAATGGGCTAATTTGAGATGTAGATACAATTTGTTGTTCAGTTCTTGCACTGCTAAATGTAGATGTATGCAGATCATTCTAAGGCAAAAGGCTCTTGACTTTCATGCCAACCAAATCAACTTCTTTCGCACGATATTACCTGAGAATTCCAGACAAGATATTTTAAATCACCGATAAACATTTAATACTAAAATTATAAAAGCCAATACAAGTTTTCATTATTATCTGTACTGAGTAAAATACTTTAAATATTTTATCCGCTGTTATTTTGATATGTTCACGGAAAGATAATATGAAAATCATTTAATGTAATTGTAATTCAGTTATTGGACAATATTATTTACATATGTTTTTTTTGTAAACCTTGGCGCTGACGTGACCGCTGACGGTTTTTGTTTACACAGCGACGAACGTGTGCGTGAAGCTGTCGGATTGTCAGTTTGTTCGTTGCTTCTGTCCTGAACCGCGTTTCTTGAAATAAACTTTTTATTAACACTGGCGCTTTGCAACAATATATATTATTACGTATAAGTTCAACTTATGAATTGCCATTGCTACTATCAGGCGATATACTTATTTGTTTTACGTGTTGCATTGTAATTTCTCACACGTAACAATTCCTGTTGTCGTTTTTCAGCAGCTTTTGCCCGCTTTTCTCTGATTTTCTCACATTTTGATTGGGCCATAGATATTCTATTATCAATTACCACAATAATTGAAGAATAGTACTTGACATTCCATACCATTTTTTATAAGATGCTATCACAAAATAGCTATTGAAATAAAAAAATATCTTGAAATAATATAAATCACTTCAAAAAAAACTTCAAAATTATACAAGTCGAGCTAAACAATCTTTCAAATTATAAACTAACGCTAAATAATCCTGGAATAGTTGCTTTAATCGAGACACGACACACATGACAACGCTGACGCCAGCACACTGAATAACTTTTCGCTATTTCTCTACGAAGATCATGACTGTTATTGAATCGCTGTTTGTTTTCATTGTTCTTCGCTACCTATAGCATCAAAACTATTTGGAGTAACTGCACCTGTAGTATTAGTAACTACACCGGTAGGCCCGAATAACAGTGTAACTATTCCTTTTCTCACTCCAAAAAGAAAAAAATATATTTCCGAAAACTTTATGTATATTTTCGATGTATTTTTCGATTCAGAATACCATGCTTCTATTGATTTAACTATAAAACGCATTCAGAAAGCTTTAATACGCTATAAACAAAGTTTCGCAGTAACAAGTGACGGAAACACGATTTTGTATTTTTCAAGTCGTTGAATAAATCCAAAAAAAAAAGAATAGCTATTGAATATTTTTTTACAGTGATTTGCACATCTCCAATCATCAGGCAAATAAATTATTAACATGGTTTAGTCAAGTGTATCCATGTGCCGTTGGAAAATAATAAATTTAATTTTCAGGAAACAAGTTCTATATGAAATTTAAGGACTTGTAACTTTTTCATTTGTTAAGACACACTCATTAGCGACCAAAAGAATCATTTATTTGTAGGGGAGGAATACTTCTAAAAAATAAGAATTAGTATCACGGCAATGTTCAATTTTTGATACGCCAAAAAGTAAAAAAAATCGAAATTTCAAAAATAAAGGGACAACTATATTATAGGCTGCTATTCTTAATATTTTGATGGCACATACTTACCACTCCACTCAAAAGATGTATTTGTATGTGTTCTTTGACCACCTCGAATCGTAAAATCATATTCCAAATGTTCAAAAAGTTATAAACAATTGAAAATTCAAATTTTTTCGAGTGACACGCTAAATTTGCGAATTTTCAGTATTTTTCGATGTAGATCCTCGTAGAATTGATTATTTTGTGTGCAACTTCAATTTTTTATTTACTAGAAATGTTGCTGAAACAATACTCCTTCAAATACTCCCAGTAATTTTACTTGAAAAAATTTTTTTCTCGTCAACAAACGCGAGTGACAAGAAAGTTAACAACTTTATGGATTTGCCCATATCAGGAAATAATTTTTGTTTGAAAATAGCTCTACTGAAGATTTCAATATTTTTCTTACCATTTATTGTAAATAATAAGCTTCTAAATTTTTTACCTTTTAAACGATGAAAGATTATGTCAATTTCTCCTCGACGTTTTTTTGGAAATACCTTCATTAAAATATCAATTGCTGAACGATGATATGTATGAACTTGTTTGTCTACGAAGCAAGATGTTAAATTTGCACATTGCCCATTATTGATATGAACTGCATGAATCGATTCATGACCAGCATTTTGGTACAGGGAATGTTCACATAAACAATTATTCACATCCATTCCACATAGTGAGCTATATGTTGCATAATTGGCAATAGCAGATGATGGCTATAATAATACAATATGTATATAGTAAATTTTCTTATAAGACGATATTTCGGAGGAAGTATGTGTTAATAATTTGGCTAGTTATTGTTTGAATCAAGCTGAATTTTCATTAATTGCAAGAATTATAATTTTTGTTCCAGAAATTTTCTAAGAAGAAATAAAAAATGCAGAAAATGATCAACTATCAGAAGTATAAAGAGAAATCACAGGTAACATAGTATATTTAAAAAAATAGTTAATGGGATCAATTGGTGTTAAACAGAGAAAAGTGTAAGTTTTCTTAACTGTAGTATTAAAATCGTGCTAATAAAACTATTATCATTAAAGTTGTTTCGTCATAAACTATTCAGTAGGTGTTACCATTTTTTACTTTTTAAGTTCCAAAAGCTCAACAGCCCGTAACATCGAAATCACCTATTTTGTTCGCACTTGGTAGACTTGTTATATATACATAGGTTAATATGTATGCAGAGTTTTAGAAGAAAATGTTGATAAGGGATCTTTGTTAAAGATGCGGAAACACTTTTACTTTTAAAACGTATTTCTTGTTGTTAGTTCTATAAAAAACCGTTTTGAAAATCGAATGCCCGCTGTCAACATTAACACTGAACGAAAATAAAATGAACACTGTGAGCAGTAAATGCCTTTAACGAATAAATGATTTTATATTTAATCACTCTATAAATGTTTCTTTAAGTAATATATAAATTAATTAATTAAATAAGTAATATAAATGAACAAATATATCATCATTTTCAATATTTATATTTCGTTATAGTGCGTTTAGATCATCAGGAACACTGAACGTAAACATTTTATATGCATCTAAGATATCACATTTTAATAAATATTTTATAATACTATAAGGTAACAACAATGAGGTATAAAATTTTTTTCAAGGTACAACATTTATAAATATTTAGGTACTATGATAGATTCGAAAACAAGGTATATCGTATAAGGGAATTTTCCTGCAGTCATCACACATATTATAAATTAACATACGAGTACTTTTTCCTTGTTTGTAGCAAACGACGCATCTTTTTCGTAGACATTTATTTGAATCTAATAGATCTACAAAATAGGGTGTTGAATATGTGATGGGATTTTTTTCTTTTTATTTCTGTTGATTTACGTTCTTTTCTTTGTAACTATACTCTTACAATAATGCTTTTAATAATTACATGCGAAAGACCAGGAATGTAATTTTTTATTTAAATGTATAATGTTGTAAATAACGACGGCATTATATATTGCTAAGTCAACTAAATGTACACATACCATTACACATAACTAAATCTTCACATACCATTTATAGACTAGTAGATAAGCAATGTATGTTCTGGGATACAAAGAGACCGCCCCATGAAGGTGTCGCGGTATAACACTACCGCGACATCTATTTATTTGAATAAGGTGAGAGCCCATGCTGAGTGTCTCAATCGCATTTGATGTACCTTTGACACCTCCCGCTGAGTATCTAAAGGGTAATCGATGTACCTTATGCATCGAAGATGCGTCGCCAATGCATAAGGTATATCTCTTAGCAACCGCTATAGTAGTTTCATTAGATTTCGGGAACCTTTGAACCTCAAAGTTAATTTTATTTGAATATTATGTAATGTGGCACATTACAAGGCCTTTCCTGAGTGCTGCATTATTTGCAACACCTCGGAAAGGCCATCCCCGTCCCTTACCGCCCCGTAACCGGTTGTTTAAAATAAAGCTAAACACGCCCTACACCGAACAATTATTATTTTCCATGCCCGAATGACCACGCCGGAGATATGGGCGAAACAAACTTGCCCAACGCGATCCGACGGATGCTCAAAGAGCAGAAAAGAAAAAAAGGAGCGCACCACAGAAAAAGAGAGCGCACGCACACACTCACTCACAGACACTCCCGACCACGTGTTGCCGGCCGGCAAAAGAAAAATGCAAAACCTGACTGGGAAATGCAATGGAGATGCATGTTGATGACACATGCAGACCCGTTACACTCCCAGACACTAACACGAACACTCACGAGGCACTGACACTCCTGGGGCGAGCAGAAAATCGCCGATGAAGTGGCAGCCGGCAATCAGCTGTGTCGGGCTGCCGAACACCATCGGCGACATCCTGAGCGCCACACACACAAAAATCAGCGACCACACACACAAACACCCGGAACAACACCACAGAACCGACACGGGAGCGCCAACCGGCGCAAGGACACGAGGCGTACGCGCGAGAAACTGAACGGCCATCTTGAAGCGCCGATATAGACTGAGAGCGAGCGAGCGAGACAGACTGAGACAGAGCGAGCGAGACAGAGCGAGCGAAGCAGACTAAACAAGAGCGAGCGAGACAGACTGAGACAGAGCGAGCGAGACAGAGCGAGCGAAATAGACGAAACAAGAGCGAGCGAGACAGACAATATAAAATAATAGAATAATATGTAAATGCGAAGATGAGGGCGCTACAAATAAAACGGCGTATATTATATAGGTATTTCTGAGATTAAAATTAAATCATAAATTGAAATAGAATGAACACGAAATAAAAATCGAATTGTAAAATTCGCACGCGACCGACACCCCTATTATGATGGCGAGCGACAACTACTCCCTTTAGGTTTAAATGATAATTTAACTAACTGAATTCGAACATCTGACAAAATTCGCTAGTGACGTCAGAACCAATAGGCAAATTAGAATAAAATTTGATTTCCGTCCGCATAGACGAATAGATAAGAGTAGGGGTAGATCTTTTCCGACAATTAATGATAGATACCTTAGTGGGGGGTGAGAGAGAGTAAATAACGACGAAAGTAGGAGAGTTAAGGAGGGCGCTGTATTATTCTAATTTACATACGGACCAATGATAAAAATTCGGAGGGCGCTACCGATATCCGAATTAGCATACCGACCAATAATAACATTTCTTCTCGGAAAGAGGAGAAGAGAAACGATCTTTGACCGCGAGAAGCCGATTCTCGTCCATTTTGCCATTGGATACCTGGAGAGAAGGAGCTCTGTTAGCTAATTTTCGCCGTCGAACCTCTAGCGCTAGACGCCTCCTAAACTCTCTGTTGCCAATTTTGTTTGCCAGTGTCGCAAGGAAAGATTTGTAAGTAGGCAAAATGCCGCTCATTTTTAATTAATCGCGGAGTGCGGGTTAAGTTATTTAATTTATTTAGTTCGGTGCTGTAGGTCGTCGCGACGCGTGGATCCGTCGACGCCGGTGCCTACCGGATCGTGCTGACCTGTCCGCCATTCCGCGAATATAGATTGAGTGTTCGGTTACGAGAGAAAATCGCGACTTAGTATTCGCGCTGACCTTTCGTCACGTTTATTAAGTTCGTTTTACAAAAGAAAATTGCAATTCGATATTCGCGCTGACCTTTCGTCAACGTTTATTAAGTTCGTTTTACGGAAGCCAATTGCAATTTAGTATTCGCGCTGACCTTGCGTTAGTTACTTAGTACGAACGTAGGTTCAATTGGATTAAATTGTTGACTAATTAGTTGTGCTGACCTTTCCGCCATTTCACAAACCGAATTTGAGCGTTAGGTCTTATAAAAGAAAATTGCGATTTGTTACTCGCGCTGACCTTTCCGCCATTTTAGGAACCGTTTAAATTGTATCTTAGGGATTAGTGAGAATTCAGAATTCTACCGACCACATTTATTCCGACCTCGTATGTGAGAAACTTTTAATGCATCAATAAAACAATTAATTGTCTTTATATACATATATATATCTTACTTGATAACCTGCCCCTGTTGCATGTTAGTGATTTTCAGCCGCGGTCGGTTACATACGGGTTTATTAATTCGCTATATTTTCGGATTATTCGTTAGGTAAAATACGCGCGATTTCGAACGTCCTCACGACCTGACTTAAGGAGTCATCACCTGAGCTGCCGGCATACACTAATCAAGGAGGAAATTAGCATCGAAAGTTGGACACCAAAGGCCTGAACCTCGGATACAACGCGTATCCCCCCATCTGCTTACTCTGCGCAGTCGCCGTTAGGCAGACCGGGATACGCGTAACCCTACTGGCCTTACCCCCGACGATCGCCGTAATCAGCCGACGGTCTGGCGCCCTAAATAATCGGGGGTAGAGCCAAACAGGCCTTGTGGCGGAAGAACTCGGAGCGCGGTCAAACCCCCCGAAATTCCCTGCCACAATTAATTAATAAAACTTATAGAATTTTCGTTTAATTATTAATTTATTGTTCATTCAACTATACATTGAATATAATACGGTCTGTCTATAATCTTTATTTTCAGTAGTTGAAATCGCTATATTGAAATATTGAGTTAAATTTTTATATGTAATAATGTCAACTTTATCAATACCTTCCATTTCAGATTGCTTCCGTCTAGCTTTTATTCATAAAAACAATCTTTGTGCATCTGTAACGGCACATACAAAGTTAGCTGGTTTATTGTAATGATGTGTACATATTGTTCCTAATGGGTAAGGAATGCGCTCATTGGTGGACATCTCATCTCGCTTTCAAATTCTAAAATTTTTCTAAAAAAGGAAAAAAATTTTTAATTAATAATGATTTTAATTTCTAACAAAAAAAAATAAAAATACTTACTTTTCAGGTAAAAGTTTTTGTAACCATTGTTTCTTTTTTAATGCTTTTACATAAATATTTCTAGAATTATTTAAAAGATTGTTTAGTACACCTGCTAAATTTTTATATGGAATAAGACCGGATCTCCATAATAAACTATGATGACACGTTTCAAAGAAATGATTCACTTTTCGACACTTGAAAGGGAGTTGAAACCAATGATATGATGGTTCGAAGAAAAACACAGTTGGAACAGTATCTACATCTAATGGTAGATATGCGAGTTCTTTACAAACAAAAGTCTCGTTTAAACTTTGAATGTCTTGAAAATCTATTACGAAATCCATTTGAAAAGATGCTGAAGTTAATGTGAACTCTACTAGTTTCCAAAACTGTTATGAGAGTAGAGGCACGTGCTTGTTCTA